GTGTTGGGGAATCCCAGGGTGTGATAACGGACGTGTGTGTGGAGGACGAGGTGTTGGGGATCCCAGGAAGTGATGATGGGAGTATGGGGGGGCAGAGGACGAGGTGTTGGGGATCCCCAGCTGGTTCTGTTAGTGCAGAGTCAGCTGTAGTCTGTGCTTGTTCTGGAAGAGGGTGGCAAGGAGCGTCCCAGCTCCTCCCCACGTGGTCAGAGCCAGCACGCAGGTGTCCTTTCCGAGGCCAGGCAGCGCCACTTCAGCTCTCACTGGCGATTTCAGTGGACAGAGAACAGGAGGGCCTGATGCTCTTGGGGTGGCCTTGTCCTGGGGGTGGTCTTGTCCTGGGGGCGGCCTGCTGCCACCTTTGCAGACCCTCTGTTACCCCTGTGCGTGCTGCCAGCACGCGTCTGTCTCCTGCTGCGTCTTCACCGGGCAGCTAGTGTCTGAACAGTGCCCCACGTGCACGCTAGGAAGGAGCCGCACCTGGTGCCCAGGTGTGCATGAGAATTTTCTCTTGTCAGTAAACGCGCCAGTTGCTGCTTTTCATTATACTTAACAAATGTCTGCTTAGTGCCCCGGGACAAGCCGTGTTCCCTTAGACCTTTAACCTGGTAACTCAGTGATCTTCCCTCCCAGGACAGCGCCCGTAAAGGACGGTAATTTAAAACTCAGTGGTGAAAGGTAGGAGACCATTAGAACTTTCTAGAAAGGAGGAGAAGGAAAGAGGTAGACCGATTGGGCCCCAGTTTATTTGAACCATCGCAACTACACACGGGTCCTGCCACCTCCCAGTATGGCCCAGCTTGTCCTCACTTCCCCCATCAGCCTCATTACCCTAACGGCCAGCAGTTAAGTTCCCACTGCACCCAGTCTGAGGGGTGAAATCTTCGCAGGCCTGAGGCACTTACAGTTCTGTCGACACAGACGTGGTCCTCTGATGACACGTGATGAGACATTCGTTTTCTTGATCCACCGTGGCGGCCGAGCCCGTCAGTGCCCATGGCCAGCGCAGGCTTCCGTGAGCTCACTCACTAATCTGTGTTGTGTGTGCCATCGAGTCGGGACCACTCACAGCGGATCTTCCAGCGAGTGCTCAGAAGCAGTAAATCACACGGGGAGACTGGCCGTCCTTCTCCCATGGAATGTCAGGTGGATCAGAACGGCTCCCATTGGGATTGCTGCTGCCCTGAGCACTAGGCCGCCAGGGCTCCGTAACCGATCTGTAGGGACAGTCCTGAGCATTTACATGCCTGCTATCCCTCAGTCTTCTCACAGCACCACTCAGGCTGCCCAGCACTGTTCCCATTGAACAGACGTGGAGACTGAGGCCGAGGAAACAGGCACAGCGCCCATCCCCCCATAGCATGTGGTCTTCTGTCCACAGGGGAGTCGCCGGTGCTGCCTCTACTCTTTCCCTGTGGAAACCTCAAAAGCGAGACTCTGCCAAACAGGCTCATGGACCAAGGTGAGTGGGTGCCCCAGCTGTGGACCGCCTCCCTCGACGGCCTGAGTGATGGACATGGTCAGCCTGCAGAGTCCACACTGGCAGCCAGGCCCAGGGACGGTGTGGATACACCTGAGTTAGGCCTGGGGTGTGGGCTGGGCCTCTGACCATGTGCACGTGGAATGAAGTGAGAGAGAGAGAGAGAGAGAGAGAGAGAGAGAGAGAGAGAGAGAGTGTGTGTGTGTGTGTGTGTGTGTGTGTGTGTGTGTGTGGTGAAGGGTCCAGCTTCCTTATAGCGACTGTGTGCATGTGGAGGGGTGTGTGGTCCGGGCCCCCTCGGGGTGACCCTGTGCACATCAGAGGTGTAGTACATGGTTAGTCTCTTTAGATTTGGGGTACGGATGTGGCTTCCTGGCTCAGGATACTGGGGCTGAAGTGTTAGGGGGTCTCTTCTGCGTGGCTTCCTGCTCTGGCCTTGGACGGCAGACCCCTCCCTTGCTTTCAGCACAGGGTTGTAGGCATTTAGGATTCATGCCTTCGTGATGAGGGACCAGCTGGGTGGACCATCAATGGCCACAGCAATGTGGGAACAGTGGTGTCATAGGTCGTGACAAAGGCTTTGATTTGAGGTCGTGGCCCTGGTCCACCAGCTCAGCCTTCCGTGGTTCTGTGGCCATGGGGCCTGTGCTGAATAGCTCTCCCCCACCCCTTTCATCCCACTCTTCTTGGGTGAGCTCACCCAGGCGTGTCGGGGTTGCAGGGTATTCCCAAGGGACATGTCCCCAGGGCCGTCAAGTCTCCCCATTCTCCCCTGTATCCAGGCATCCCCATGGAAAGCCTAACTGTCTACCAGACCGTCCCACATCCAGGAATCCAGGAAAACCTGGAGAACTACTTCTCCAAGCAGGTGTGTGGTTTGGGGGTGGGCATCCCGTGAGGGCCAGGTCTCAGGAAGGTTCCAGAGGCCAGCCATGTCCTCTGAGGATGGAACCCCTCTGGTACCCCACGTCTATGACATGGACCGTCCCAGAAGATTCGGCGGCCCTGGTGGCCAGCGTTAAGGTTTGGCTGCTGACCAGTGGGGCGGTTCGAACCTGTTATCTGCTCTGCAGCAGAGAGGTGGGGTAGTCTGCTCCGGTGGAGATGACAGCCTTGAAAGCCTGCCTGTCTGTGGCCCCAGGGGGTCGCTTGGAGTCAGAACCAATTTGGTAGCAGCGGCTCAAGTTTGGTTTGGCCGGTGGACGAGGCCTAGTAAGCTGGAGGCCAAGTGTGGCCTCACTGCTGCCGTCCTGGTTCGCCATGGACCGCGGGGCTCAGGCTGGAACGGGAAGTTGGGCACATTGGGCTAAGGCTGCAGTGTGCCCAGTCAGGAGTCTGGGAGGGAGGTGGGGGCCCCTGGGGAGCTGTGGAGGGCTCTGATTTCTCTGATTTGAGTCTTCAGTATTTCTATTTGGGCTCTTCCTCCCCAGGATGGACAGGCTTGGCTCTGGGTCTTGTTGAAGGGTCCTCTGTTGGGTCCCTCTGCTCTCTTTCTGGAAGGGTGTAGAGTGGACCAGGAGCTGGAGCCATGCTGCCCCCAGGAGCTGGAGGCCTTGTCCAGTCAGCTGGGCTCCTAGTGTCCATAGTCCAGACAGGGGGCTCCACAGTGAGGCAGAAGCAGCATTTGCCCCTGCTGACCCTCGACCCAGACAGCCCTGTCTGGACGTCAGCTACTCTGAGCAGAACCACTCCTATTATAACACCCCATCCCTTAAGCCCCACTGCCCACCTGCTCTCCTGGCTGCCTGGGAGGAACCCCTCAGAGTCCCACACTGGAGAACGTGGCGGGGACCCCTCAGAGTCCCACACTGGAGAACGTGGCGGGGACCCCTCAGAGTCCCACACTGGAGAACGTGGCGGGGACCCCTCAGAGTCCCACACTGGGGAACGTGGCGGGGACCCCTCAGAGTCCCACACTGGAGAACGTGGCGGGGCTGGTTTTCCTTGCAGGGTGTCCTGGCTAGCATCGCCTTCTTCAGTCCCTCGGGCCTCAGACACAGCCTCAAGCACATCCAGACGTTGTCTGGTGACAGCTTCAAGGAGATCAAGGTAAGGCTCACTGGCCTGTTGTCTTCTGCTTCTTCAGCCCTTGTTAACCGCCCTGGGGTGTTCATGTGACAGCAAAGCCCCTCACCTGGCATGCGCCCCGACAGCATCTTGCGGAGCTGAAAGGTGCTGGGGCCCATAGCTTGTAGCTCTTGGACAAATTACTAAACCTCGCTGAGCCTGTCTGTAATATTTGGAACATGAGGCTGGGAACCCTCTGGGGCTTTTGTGGACACAGACGGCGTCTTGAGCTGGGTTCTCTAAAAGAGCCAAACCAGCGGCATTTTTACGTGTGTGTCTCTGTGTAAAGAGAGAGTGACCTCAATGAAATGGTCTGACTGCTGCAGGGGATGGCAAGTCCCAAGTCCGTGAATCAGAACTGCGGCTCCACAGCCACTGTCAGGCAGCACCGCAGGCCGCTGGCTCAGACCACGAACAGGAAGTCAGACGATGGCAAGATCCAGGTTCAGGTGGAGCCCAAAGCTTTTTCAGAAGGTCCTTCAGGATCGAGCGCAGGCCACCCTCCCAGGCCAGCCCTTCCAAGTGATGGGCTGCCCACAGCCAAAGTGATTACGTCATACCAGATCTCGTCAAGGCGTGACAGCACCGGGACTGTCAAGCCAGGGGGCCATGGCACACAGGCCGGTCATCTCAGCCATCAGATGGTGTCGTAGTCATTGGAGTTTTCCATGTCGGACCAAAGAAACTGTCACCTGATCAAAATCATGAAGATATGTGCCTGAGTTTTCTTCTAGGTTTTGTGGTTTCAGCACTTACATTTAGATCTCTCATCTCTTTTGACTTGTGTATGTCTCGGAAAAAGTGCAGCCGGACGGCCCCTTGGAGGCAGGGATGGCGAAGCCGCTTCCCTCATACTTGGGGCGTGTTGCTAGGAGAGGCTGTACCTTGCAAAGGGCCATCATGTTTGGGAAGCTGGAGGGTCAGCAGAAGAAGGAAGACCCCCAAGCAGATGGGCCGACATGGTGACAGCAGCAGTGGACTCAAGGGTGTCAGAGATGACAAGAACGGCCAGGCCAGGCCAGGTCTCCTGTCCACAGGCCCACTGTGCGTCATACTTGGCTCGACAACACCTAACAACAACACGTGGTTTGAGGCAGGGACGCAGCTTTGCTCTTTCTTAGTGGAGTTTCTTTAAGGGCAGCAGTGTGGGGGCCTACTGACGCTCGGGCCTCTTGTGTCCCGTTCTGCTTGCCCTGGTGGACGACGTCAGGCCCATGACATCCTGGGCTGTGCACAGGTGACAGACCGTGCTTCCCCTGGGCCCACCTTCCTTGGCTCTCACGTTCTATGAGTTTCTGGGTAAGGGCTTCTAGCTCCAGGAAGTCCACCTGCCTCACCCCTCCTGCCATGTTCCTAGGACACACAGCTCTAAAGCTGCTTCAGAGGACTTGGGTGATGTCTCTGCAGCAAGGCTGAGCCGTGACGTGCTCCCTGACGTCCTGCCCTCACTCCCTCCTGCTCCCCGCTCTCCTCCCCACCCTCTGCTCCCCCTGACCTCTGACCTCTTCTCTCCTTGTAGTTCGTGGCCATTGGCCCCACCACGGCCCGCGCGATGGCTACCCAGGGCCTGCCTGTGAGCTGCACTGCTCAGAGCCCCACCCCCCGGGCCCTGGCCGAGGGCATCTGGAGGGTGCTCCAGCCTGAAGGCTGCTGACCAGCACTCTGGGTCTTCCCGAGCTGGTGCTGCCCCCTCAGGACACCAAGAGTTCGGGGCCAGGACAGGCCTCTTGCACATCATGCCCCTCCGTGGACCCTGCTGCTCCAAGGCTCCTCTGTCCAGAAGAGGGGGCCCCAGTGAACTCCCCAGCACACCTGAGGCTGGCTTTGTTCTCAGTGGGGCCAGTCTGACACGTGGCAGACCCGGTGTGGTGACAGATCTGCTGCATTTGGAGTCATTTTAAGCAAGACCTTGACGTTCCTGCTCTGTGAGCTGAAGCCGATGTTAATTTAAGATACAGAGACTTTCCCCTCAAAAATGTGAATGTGGTGTTGAGCTGTGCAACCACGGGCTGAGCCGGGAGGAAGGGTTTTCCTGGGATCGTGCGCCTGAAGAAAAGCACTAGCGAAACTCTGGCTCCAAGAACCACTTCTCCTTTTAAAATCTTGGCTCAGCATGTGAGCAAACTGACCGACTCTGTGTGTATTAATACCATGTGTGTGAGCAGGGGCCGGGGGAGGAGAGACCACAGTGGGCAGGGGACAGTGACAGAAGAGACATCATCAGAGTGTGGGCTGGGGGCTCCCACTGTGGGCACACCTCTGCCCAGGGCTGACCCTCAGCCCTAAGGAAAGGTCCCCATCGGTCCCCGTCTTTATGGGGAAGAAATGGAGGTTCCTGAGGTCAGAGTCACCTGGCTAGGGTTTAGAGGCCTGTGAGCTTCCACCCATGGGCCGAGACAGGCAAGATTCTGATCAGAGTCGGGGGGTGATGTCTACCAGGAGTCTGCTCACAGGATGGTGAGTGCCCCATGTGTCCTGGTCCCTTCCAAACACCTTGCAGTTCAAGGTTAGACTCAGGAGCCTCCTGTGAGACACCAAGCCAGCCCCGAGCTGCTGGCCCCTGGTCCCTCTCTTCTGTACACTCTAGACCTTCCTCAGCCCTTTCTCCTGAACTCTGTGCCTGTTTCATCCACACCCAGTTTATCTGACAGTCGCCCCGCTCTGCGCCACTGCACAGTCCTCAGGCCCAGACTGGCCACTGGCAGGGTCTGTTCCCATTCCCAGCAGCCCTGCAGAATGGAGGGCGGAGGAAAGCTGCCACATACCTTTCCAAGGCTGCGATCTTCACCTCACCTTTCTTCCTGGGGGCTTTGAACTGCTAACCTTTTCAGTTAGCAGATGAGTGTTTTAACTACTTGGACACCAGAGCTGCTCAGATGTGCCTACAGAGAACAGCCAATAACTGGAACAGCTGCGCGCTTCTCTGCACAAAAGTCCCGAGCTGGAGCCACCCCACGGTGGGTGAGAGTGGCCTTCTAGAAAGGGCAGCACACAGGTCCGCAGGGATGGTGATCATGAGGACTTGGGGTGCAGAGGTGCTCAGAGCTTGTGAGGATGGAGGGGGTGACGTAGTCATCAGGAGACGGCAGCAGAGGAAGGCTGGGTAGGGTTGGGCACAGGGAGATGCAGGAGGCTCGGGGACCTACCCAAGGTGGGCAGAGCGCAGAGGGTACACCTTGTCAAAGGGGGCAGAACCTGGCTGGGAAGACGCTGTCTGTGAGAGGACCCTGGCCCTAGCCCTGGCCTGAGCTGCCACCGGTGGGACTTAGGAATAGTCACACACATACCCCGTCTCTGTGCTTACTATCAATGTGTCGGGACATTCACCAAAGTGTCACCATCAGGTGTTAGGTTGTGGTTGTTCGGTGATGTCGAATATAACTCGTAGTGACCCTGTGACCACCTGAGCGGAACCCGGTCCCGTGCCGTCTCCACAATCTCCAACACACTCCAGCCTGTGGCTACACTCATCTAGGGCCCACTCTCTCTTGATACATTCTAAACTTAACATGCGCCTGGTATTCTCTTTATAAAGAGAACCATAAGGAAATGGGAACAATGTGTGAAAAACAATGTATGCAAACTCTGTAAGTAAACAGGTATAAAGTTAAAATTTTATTTTCCAAAAAAAAAAGAAATGACTGAAGACCAGAAAAGCAAACAAAATCCTCAAGCCCCAAACAAACACATCCTTCAAAGAGCAGATGGAGGACAGACAGACATCATATGTCAGCGTCACCAAGAACTTCAAAGCACACTGGGGGGCTTGGCGACAGGCTGCAGGGAGTGTCGGGGTGGAGGTGAGGGGAAGGAATGCACAGGCCTGTGCGAGTTTGGGATGCAATTACTTGGAGGCAGGTGGGTGGGCAGGGGGCCTGACAGGAGGGAGCTCTCAAGCTAACGAGAAGGGTGGCCATGGGCTCTTCAAAGGGTGACACCCTCCGTCACCCCGTCTGATGGTCACACTTCAGGCCTGGGTGAGAAATGGGCACACGATGACCTCCCTGTGGCTGCTCGTAAAAGCTCGCAGGCCCTGCTCCCAGGAGGGGACACGGGGACGAAGCAGGGGCAGAAGGGCAGCAGCCCTCCACCAGCCGGGCCATGCACGCCACCTCCCTCTTCCGTCCGACTGTCCTGCTCTGCTGGCTCACGGCCCCCAAGCCCGGCCACTGCGAGACCCTTTTCCACAGCCGGGACCGCTCAGACCTGGAGCCATCACCCCTGCGTCAGGCCCGGCCTATCGCCGACGCCCGCTCTGCACAGGTAGGGGAGGCCTGTGGACGCCCACTCAGCACACAGGCTGTCCTGTGCCGGGTTTGTGTTGGACTTTGCAGCACATTGTCCCAGGTTCAAGGTCTGCAGTTGGTCTGAGTGCACCATTTCTCCAAGTGCACGTGCACACTTCCTTTGTCTGTGATACATTCCTGCAGTATTCCCCATGTCCCCCTAATGCTAGCAGGGCACAAACCCACTGTCCTTGAGTCAGTCCTGATACTCAGCGACGCTCCATTGGGTTTCCAAGGCTCTGAATATTTTTAAGAGGAGACTGCCCCTCTTTGCTCTACTGGACATGCTGTGGATTTGAACCACTGACCTTAGAGTGAGCAGCCTGACAGGTTACACGCCCTGCCACCACATGACAGAAGAGACACTGACTCTTACTGCTGTGGAGCCGGAAGTGACTCCTAACTCACCCTCTGGTGGGTTTCTACGGCTGTAAATCACAAGGAGAGAGTTTCCATCTTTCTCCGGAGGAGCGGCTGGTGGATTCGAACCGCTGGCGAGGCACTCCATTTGGGTTAGGAGGGCATCCCCCCGTTGGTCAGGCTACTGGTTCCCCTGTGGGCTACAGTCGACTGTAAATGCGTCATGTCAGGGGCAGGGCCACAGGCGCAGTGCGCAAGGCCGCTCCCTTGGACGCTGCTTCCCTGGGTGGAGCCCAGCCAGTGCGTGTTCAGGACCAGCCTCCAGGAGGCAGTGAAGGAGGCAGTGTGCATGTGTCCTAGTGCTCAAGTCCCCGACCCGATGGCTCCCAACAGAGTCCCCAGCACAAGGGGTGGCACGGGGCGCATCCAGCACCTAGACCTCGGGGCAGGAAGGAGGGGCAGCGGGGCATCCATGTCGGGTGCAGTGGGAGGCTTCAGGGTGCCACCGCCCAGCCTTCTCTCTGCAGCGCTTCCTGACCAAGTATGGCTGGACCACGACCCCCGGATCGGGCGCCTCTGCAGCCCCGGGGCCCAGCGCCCTCGCCGCCGCCGTGCGCGCCTTCCAGAGCGCCAACCGGCTGCTGCCCACCGGGGTGCTGGACGCGGCCACGCTGCGGGCCATGAACAGACCCCGCTGCGGTGTCGCCGACCCCTGGGGTGACCCCAGACGCAGCAGCACCGACGCCCCAGCTGCTTCCCAATCCCGAGCATCCCCTAACCTCCGTGGAAACCCCCACCCGAAGGCACGGGCGCGCACGAAGCGCTTCCTGCATCTGCTCAGCCCCCTCCTCAGCCAGGAGGAAGGTTCCCGAGACTCGGGACCCATCAGGATCTTCTCCAAAACCACCCTCAAGTGGCGGCTGGTGGGTGAGGGCTACAGCAGCCAACTGTCCGCGGAAGAGCAGCGCTCCATCTTCAGGCTGGCCTTCCGTATGTGGAGCGAGGTGACGCCGCTGGCCTTCCAGGAAGACCCCACGGGGCCCGCTGTGAACGTGGACATCAAGCTGGGCTTCGGAAGAGGTAGGGGCGCTCCTCGCTGCCCTCCAGAGTGTGGGGCGACTACAGGTGGGACACGAGATGGGATTCCGCGTGTTGCAATACAGCGTCAGTGTCACACAGCTGGGTCCTGGATCACAGTGGGGGAGTAGCCAGCCTCGGGCTCAGTCAGCCCTCGTGGGGCCCAACAGCAGAGTGTGTGACCCTGTTGCTGGCTGAGCCCAAGGTGACACTAGGCAGGGCACCAGCATCCTGCACTCCTGGAGACCCTCCCATCCGAGTAGAGCCATGCCCCATAGGGCCTCCAGGACCACCAGGCCTTTATTCTGAGGCCCTTTGGGTGCAGGGAGCACCTCCTGGCCATGGACAGCACCCTGCTATCTCATGGCCTGCTTCTTGCCCTCTCTGAAGCCTCTTTGAGGTCACACTGTTTGACACCCTAACCTTAACCCCCACTCCCAGTCTCAGCTCCCACAGTGCAGGGTCGCAGGCTGCCTTGATTCTCCATCATATAGTTCTTCCCACGTGGCCTCTTGTCACTCAGAACCTCGGACCGGGAGCTGGGCAGGGTGGATATCAGCACCCCTCTTCCCTCCGCGCCCCGATAGGGCACGGTCACTGCTTCACATGCTTCTGCCTGGAGATAGCTGCCAAGTGTCACGCAGGCGAGGGGCACGTGAGGTGGGCCCCCCGATTCACCCGGAGCCCACCCCCGCAGGCCGGCACCTGGGCTGTCCGAGGGTCTTCGATGGGAGCGGGCAGGAGTTCGCGCACGCCTGGAGCCTGGGTGACATCCACTTCGACGACGATGAGCACTTCACACCCCCCACCAGTGACACCGGCATCAGCCTCCTCAAAGTGAGTGTGCCCGTGGGTGGAGGGCAGTGCCAGCTCAGCCCGCCTGTGACCCCAGAGCCCTCCCAGCCAGCGCGGGCAACGCGTCTTCACCTGCTCAGCCCAGCTCCCTCGGCGCCCACCTGCCTGTGACGGACCGGCCAGCACAGGCCCAGCACTGACGACAGCCCTCGTCCCCCTGCAGGTGGCCGTCCATGAAATCGGCCACGTCCTCGGCTTGCAGCACACCTACAGGACTGGGTCCATCATGCAGCCCAATTACATCCCCCAGGGGCCGCCGTTTGAGCTGGACTGGTCAGACAGAAAAGCCATTCAGAGGCTGTACGGTAAGACTGCTCCGCTTCAGGTCATCTGGGGGACCCATTCGGTCCCCACTGTGTCCCTGAAGAGTGCAGAGAGAGTGGCCCTCACGGGACCCCTAAGCCACCAGCTCCACAATGCTGGTTTTTAAAAGAAATAATTAAAAAAAATTTCTTTATATTAATTTGTTTGCAACACAATGCTGTTTTCTTAAAAGTAGCCAGCCCTGTGCAGTCAGCAGCCACCAGTGGGCATTCCACCTGCCACACGCCTGCACACTGGCTGCCTCCACCCGTGCCCAGCGTCCCCCCAAAGCTCACCAGCATGGCCGTCAATGGAGGAAGTTCCTGTCCATGCTGCAAGGACACGCGTGCTTTATGCTCCGACTGTTCCCTCCCAAGACCTGCTCCTGTCGGGCGCGCCGCGGAGTCGGCTCCTGGGAGTGGAGACTGTCCAACCGAGCGAGGCCTCTGCCCGGACCTCTGCCGCAGCCTCTCAGCTCAGCTGGGCTTGACCTGTTGTAGCCGCTCTAGGCCCTTAGAGGTCCCACCTGTGCCGTCTGTACTCGCCTCCCCTGCTCCGGATACTCTGCCTCCTTGGGAACTGAAGGCTACCACACACTGACTTCCTCGTGAGCAGCGTGTGTGACCCTGTGCTTCCCCCGTGACGTCAGTGACCGGGGAGGCCTGGGGTCTGCACAGGAGGATTGCACAACTCAGCCTCCACCCAGCAGGAGCTGAAGAGTAGCCGGAGCCACGGGTAGAGACTTGAAGGGGCAGTGGTTAAAGAGCTTGGCTGTTTAACCAGAAGACCGGTGGTTCGAATCCACTGTGAGAACATAGTAGTCTGCTTTTATAAGGATTTGTAACCGTGGGAGAAGTGGGCAGTTCTCCCCGCCCCCCGTCCTGGAGGGTCTCTCAGGCCAGAATCCACTCAGCAGCAGTGGGTTTGGGGGGGCCTCCAGCTCCAGGCTCATCTTGTACAGTGTCTGCTTTGAATCTGTTCTGTCACGAAATCCCAGCTTTGTGACCCTCAAGTCCCCCATGAAGTTGGCTGTCCCACCCCTCGACGAGCAGCCAGATGTTTTGATCTCTTTCAGGCTCATGTGAAGGTGCCTTCGACACGGCCTTTGACTGGGTCCGCAAGGAGAGGAACCGGTACGGAGAAGTGCTGGTGAGATTTAGCACCTATTTCTTCCGCAGCAGCTGGTACTGGCTTTATGAGAACCGGAACAACAGGACCCGCTACGGGGACCCAATCCGGATCCTCGCTGGCTGGCGGGGGATCCCCCCACAGCACATAGACGCGTTTGTCCACATCTGGACCTGGAGGAGGGATGAGCGTTACTTCTTTCAAGGTAAAGCCCGGGGCCAGGCGGAGAGGCTCTGGTCTCTTCTCAGCTCGCACAGCAGGAATGTCTCAGCCTCGCCTGGAATCTGTTTAAACAACTCGTCACTTCCTGTCCCATCGTCACATCAGCTCCCTGACAACCAAGATTGGGTTGTATCCCCTGAGATTGCTTTTAGAATGTCCCCCCTGAATTTAAAGAAGAGCCTTGACACCCTGAACGATGGATGAACGGGTGGGTTATGTAAGGCATGCAGGCCGTTCTGGAGGGAAGGGAAATCCCGTGGATGCCCCAGCCGAAGTGGGCTTTCCAGGGGTGGACAGAACAAAGGGATAATTGCTGCCAGCTGGGATTTGGTGGAGCCAAGACTTGACTTGGTGGATGGATGGAGTCTGTGTCATCTAGGAAGCAATCAGGAATGGGGTCTGGAGTGGAGGGCAAGGATGGGTATAAGGTCAGAGGCAGGAAGTGGAAGCAAAGCTGAGATGTGGGTGTGACAGGCCCATTGACAGTTTGAGTAGACTGAGGTATGACAGAGTTCATGATATAAGCCTGGGCTGAAAGACAAGACTGCACTTTTACTGACGAGGGCAGGAAGATGAATAGGGCAACCAATAACATGAAAGGAAGACCTTCAGAGGCTGTGCAAACAAGGATGGTGAGACTTTGCCTCGTGACCTCTGGGCACGCTGTCAGGGAGAGCCAATCCCTGGGGAACAGCATGCTTCTGCTTGCTAGATGGTCAAGGAAAAGGAAGACGGCTCAGTGGGACGGGTTGACTCCTTGGCTACACAATGGGCTCGCATCCAGCAGGGATTGTGAGGACGGCGCAGGGCGTCCTTCTGCACATGGGTCATTGTGAGTCAGTGCTACTCTGAAGGCACCTAATAAAAGCTGTTTTTGTGGGTTTTGTTGCTAAGGAGTCCTGGGAAAGCAGCGTGTACTGGGCTGATGGGCAGCACCATGATAGACAGTGACGAGTTTGAAATTGTTAACAGCTTTAGTTTGCTTGGTTCAGCAATCAACACTCTTGGTTCCAGCAGCCAGGAAATTTTAAAAGACTAATTGCATTGAGAAAATCTGCTGTCAGGGACCTTGCCAAAGTAATAAAGAGCAATAATGTCATTCTGGAGACTAAGGTTCACCTGAGCCAGGCCATAGTCTTTGCAATTAGTTGCTATGCATCAGAGAGCTGGACAATGACCAGGAATGATAGAAGAATTGATGCCTTTGAGCAGTGGTGCTGGACAAGAGTATTGAATAAACCATGGACTGCTAGGAGAACAAACAGGTTTGTCCTGGAGAGGGTGAAGCCAGGCTGCTCCTTGGAGGCAAGGATTCTGAAGCTTGGTCTGACATACTTTGGCCATGTTGCAAGGAGAGACCAGTCCTTGGAGAGGGACGTCATGCTTGGGAGGGTGGAGGGACAGCGCAGGAGAGGAAGACCATCTATGAGGGGGATTGATTCAGTGACTGGGGTAATGGGAATAGGTGTGTCAGAGACAATCAGGTTGGCACAGGACAGAGCAGGGTTTAGGGCTGTTGTACATACGTTCGCTATGAGTCGGAAGCAACTCAATGGCACATAACAACAACAACAACAATGTAACATGTCCGGCTGCTAAACCAATGGTCAGTGGTTCAGCCCACCAGCTGCTCTGTAGGAGAAAAGCTGGTGAGGCTCCTTTTGTGGACGTAGCTTCAGAACCCTGCTAGAGGGATGCTGTGAGATGTGAGTTTGGGTTTGGTTTCTTTTGTTTGTGTTGGTTTTGCTGAGAGCCGAGAGGATGTTCATTATTGTGGAGAATGGACAGAGACTTCTAACAGCAGCGAGGAGTGAAAAAAACATCCACGAAGATCAAATCTAGAAATAACTAGATAAATCATCAGTTTTGCTCAGATATGGAGGACTTCCTAGAATGGAGGCAAGTCCTGTTTTTTCTCGGGATCATGGTGGCCTGGAGCGGTACCCCGCTCCTGCGCTCTAATACACCACACAGGTGTTCTGTGGCTGGCTTTCAGGGAACCAGTACTGGCGATACGACAGTGACAAGGATCAGGCCCACACAGAAGATGAACAGGGAAACCGTTATCCCAAATTAATTTCTGAAGGATTCCCCGGAATTCCCAGCCCCCTGGACACAGCCTTTTACGACCGACGAAAGCAAGTGATTTACTTCTTCAAAGGGTCCTTGGTGAGTAAGGCTCATAGTGGCATGTGGCTTCTCTTGACCCCATGGGGCTCCTCTTGTCCCTGTGTGACTTCTCTTGTCCTCGTGGCTTTTGTGTCCTCGTGTGGCTTTTTTTTTTTTTTTTGAGATTGTATTGAACATGCAGATTGCTTTTGGTAGGATTGTAATTTTCTTTTTTTTTCCTATAATTACATTTTATTAATTTTCATAAACATTTACAGAGATTTTGGGTTTCCACTCATTCATTGTTGCACTATTCTCTCTACCCTCCTCCCAGTTTGTTCTTGTCCAAATGCCACAGTGCTTGTCAAAGCCAGTTCTGATTAATCTTCTTTGTCAGTGTGTCCTTTGCCATTCCCTATCACTCCTCCCTGAGAGAGACTTCACCCTGAGTCATAAGGAAAAGGGGATGGCGTATTCTCTTAGCTACTTCCTGCTGAAAAAGGGACGCTGTGGGTTTCAGGGTGAAGATCTTCTCTCACTACTCTAAAGGGCCCCTTTGGCAGTAGGAAACACCGTGTGGCTTCTGAGTCCCTTTGTGGCTTGTTGTTCCCATGTGGCTTCTCTTGTCCCCGTGTGGCTTGTGTCCCTATGGGGCTTATTTGTCCCTGTGTGGCTTCTGTGTTCCTTTGTGGCTTCTCTTGTCCCCATGTGGCTCCTGTGTCCCTGACAGGAACTTGCCAGATGACCAAGTCCTTGGTAAAGACTGCTCTCATTTGGCTCCAGTTGGGCAGTCAGGGCCTGGAGACCTAGCACAGGGCACATACAGGGCACAGGGCACTGCAGGGCACTGGACAAATATAGGGTACTAATCACATACGGGAACATACAAGACACAGGGCACATAGAGGGCACTGGTCACATACAGATGGTTAAGAATTTCAAAGGATTTGGTGCAAAGCCCCAGATTTCTTTCCCTCATGGCTGTAACGTGACCTGGAAAAGTAAGTCATTTCCAGCAAAGCCAGCCTTCCGTCTCACGTGCTTCACAGGTGTTTGCATTTGATGTGAACAGGAACCAAGTCCTCAGCTTTTATCCAAAGCAGATGACAGAGGTGTTCCCAGCCACAGTGCCACGGAACCACCCTTTCCACAGTCTCGACGCAGCGTACTACTCCTACACACACAACTCCGTCTTCTTCCTCAAAGGCAACGCGTACTGGAAAGTCGTGAACGACAGGGACAGACAGCACAACCCCCGGCTCCCAGCGAACGGGCTCTTTCCACAGGCGCGGGTCTCGGGGAAGTGGCTTGACGTGTGTGATGTCCACACTTCCACCCTGAGCATGTGATGAGGAAAACGGTGTGTTGCAGGCATCCTCTGGGAAGAGACACTTGGTTTCTTAAACAGTTAAGAGTCAGTTTTTAATAATGGAAATAAATGGGTCCCTTGAGTTAGAGCCAGGGGGCTCTGGTGGCCTGGCGGGTAAACAGCAGCACTGCCAACCCAAAGGCAGGCAGTGTGAATTCACCAGTGGCTTCAAGGGAGCTAGATGGGCATTCTCCTCCTGCACAATGTACTGCCTCTGAAAATCTGCTGGAGGGTCAGCTACGGGTCCTTTATGACTCGCCAGCAGTTAAGTATGAGTGTAAAAGCCCACTGGACACAGATTTTTCAGTCAGATGTAAGCCACTAAATCACTTGGAATTTTCAAGGAAGCTGAAGTCAAAGTTGTGCAGAGCCCTGGTGGTGCAGGGTCTGGTGGTCCTGACACTGTCCCCTTCCCAGGTTCAGAGTGGAAGGCAGGCGGCCACAGCAGGTCTGGCCAGGGAACGTGTGCCCCCACCTTGGGACAGGCGTGATTTCTGGGGGGCCACGCTCAAGTTGTTTTCCGGACACTTCCACCTTGCTCAGAGCTGACAGTGTCGCTGGCTCCCCTGCCTGTGTTCTCTCTTCACCTTCTCATTCATCTTCGGACACCAGAACTACTGGCAGCCCCTGCAGTCAAGCCCAGTGGCAGGTGGACGGTCATCTCCTAGAGCTGGGCTGGTAAAGTCTCGGCCTGCCTTCTCTGCAGCTCTGGTCCCTGCTCTGCCGGGCTGCCGACGGGCCACCTCACAGCCGCTCCACGGGACTCGAAAAGCAGGCGGTTTCCAGGTCCTAATTCAGGGTCACTACGGCTGCATTAGCTCCCCTATCCACTTCACAAATAAATGAGTGGCACGTGAGGACGTGGGCAGAAAGTGGACAAGGAAACGAGCGGACAGGTTCAGGAGCGCCCTTGACCAGGAGCGCACACTGGCTTTCCTCAAAGACACAGCCTGGCAATTTGAGTTGTTTTCAACTGAAACCAGCGAGTTGCAAATATGTTTTAAAAGGACTTTCCTAATCTTCATAGAAGTGCTTCTGTGTTGGTATTGTACCTTGGACGACAGTCTGCTTAGATTAGAGACAGAGTTCCCCCTTGACTAAGGTCTGCTCAGCTGAGAGGCACCTCAAGCAACAGCCCTGCTACCCTGACGTCATCCTGTCCATCAGCAGGGTGGATCCTTCCGGAATTCCTCACACGCAGTGCAAGCAGCGTCAGACGCCAGTTACTGTGTGCACCTGTGGCCTGGGAGGCAGGCCCACAGCCCTGCAGGCCGGCTGATCTCACACGTGCCTAGTAGCTGAAGCGGGATTTTTACAGGCCTCGATGAGTTCTACCCACAGAATGCTCCCAAGAGTGGAGTGAACCACCCTGAGCAGGTCGACAGATGGCACGAGGGGCCAGTCCTGCCAGGCTAGGGCCGGAGGTGATGACCCCGGTGATCAGTGCAGAAACAGGGAAAAATGTGCATGAACCTCGCTGAAAACTGACATTTCTGGACTTCTCCATCGCAATGCGGTTCTTCCTTCAGGAGGCCTGGCTGCTGGGGGGAAGGCTGCGGGCCAGTCAGGGCAGAGGCCTGGCTGAAGGGCACCATGGTTCCTTGGCTGGCATGCAGGAGGTCCCCTGAGGGCTGTACGAGCCCTTACATCACCCCCATGGAAGACAAGGCAGCGGACCTGGAGGGTCCCTCTCTTAAAGGAGCCCCGGTGCTGGAGTGTGCAGCATGCTGGACTGATAACCGGGTCTGTGGTTCAAATCTGCTGCTGGCTCCATGTGAAGACCTGCCTGGACCGGAACCCGACGGCAGCAGCTGCTCTCAGGTTTTACCTTTCCAGCTTCCTGAGACAGCAAGGCCGTGCAGCCCGTGTGGACGCGGGCAGAGAGGTGGACGTGGGCAGAGAGGTGGACATGGGCAGAGAGGTGGACGCGGGCAGAGGTGGACGCGGGCAGAGGTGCAACACAGCCAGGCCGGAGCCCGCAGCTCAGATGTGCACCACCCCCCATCTTCTGTTTGGTGCGACAAGACACCTTGTTTCAGTTTAGTCTGTGCAAAGGATGTGACAAGGAAAAGTACAAAGGCATTTTAAATAAATAGTTTATTTATTCAAAATAGCTTTCTTACCTTATTCACAGTTTTTAAGTTTAAAAAGGAAAAAAAGGGGTAGTACCTGTTTTTGATCAACTGTCGTAGAGAGTGTGGGGAATGCTAGTTCCTTCCCAACACAGAGGTACATACAGGCACCCTGGGAAGTGGACAGCCGGCTGGCAAACCCGGCCCCGGGGCCCGCGGGCTGCAGGGAGTTTCCATGTCCACTGAGCTAGACGATCACCTGGACAAGAGCTCCTCCCATCAAAGTAACACTTTATCCAAAATAACTGCGTTTTAAACCCACACAGCTTAACACGCCTCAGAAATATATCAAAGTGTAATTACATCCCAGCAAGTCTGCCAGGACCAAGGTACCATGCCCCCCGCTGAGCCCTGCTTCTGACAGCGTGTCACATAAAGACAGGATCCAGCCGAGGCCACCAGTCATGGGAATAGTGCTCGAAGCGGACGCTCCCGTCCCCCATGGGGGGACACCCCCACGGGGGCCAGGCCAGCTCCTGCGCTGTGAAGGCACTGAGCTTATCTGTGGGCAGGCCCGTCTGGCAATCACGGGCCAGCACCCCCACGGGCCAGCTGGTCCAGCAGGGGCATGACGACGTCGATTCTTTCCAGGAGAGTGGCATTCCGGTGTGCAGTCGCTCTCAGGAGCTGGGAGTAGACCTGCTTGTTGGTTTTGAGGACTCCATCATCTTCAAGGTTACTGCTGTCATTTAAAACACACACAGGTGTAATGAAAGGTGATAATCACTAAAACACTGAACACGGTGCAACAGCGTGATGGTCATTCGTCACAAATCCTCCCCTAGTTCTGTAACCAGAGAAGGCAAGCTGGAGCCAGCCTCTCCCTCACTTGCCACCTTCATTCACTGCTTGTGGCTATTCTAGACATTGATTTCCAGGCATTAATCGAAACTGACTTCTCGGCACAAACGCCTGGGTGCCTCCTATTACCAGGAACTGCTCCGACAGGACAAAGCAGGCTCAACCGTGGAAGCTGCTTCCTATTGAGGGTGGGACTGTGGCGAGCAGTGAAGAACAGCGGATGGGAGGTGACACAGGACGAGCAGTGGGCCTGGCCCACACCCCCCCGGCTGGCACGCACGTCTAGGGCCTCGTGGGGTGTCAGGACTGCGGAGAACTGGCAGTGCCGAGACTCCGTACACTCCGGTCCTCCTCCAACGTCCACGTCACTCCCCGGCAGTGCAGAGAATGCCTGCCCCTCAGCTGGGCCATTAACTGTCTGAAGAACAAAAGTTTGTTCTGGAAAAATGTAACCCTTGTGATGGAGCACCAGTTACATTTTGTTGCTGCTGGAGACGACGGCAGGAATGCTGGGACGTTCACTCCTGGTGTTCATTTTCTCAGCGACCCCAGAGGTCAGGCTGACCAGTCGGGGCAGACAGCTCTGTCCTGTGCACAGCCACATAGGAGCCTCACAGAAGCCTGTCGCCTCTGGAGGTGAGGACTTAGCCACGTCTTTTATCCACAGAGGGGCTGGTGGGCCCGAACTGCTGACCTCTCGGTTAGCATCTTAGTGCTTTACCCACCAGGCCAGCAGGATTCCCTAAGCTCGGAAAGGTTATATAATTAGGACCAAGGTTTTCTGATGTCTAAAGCTATGCTGTTTACACTCCGTGAGCTCCTGCCAGGACCTCCTGTGTGCCCGTGTGCCTCATGCCCGATGCAGGCCTGATACAGGCTCAGCTCCTGGCCGCTGCAGTCGGGGGCCGCTGAAGCCAGGGGGGCACACAGCTCTTTTCAGAGACCCACTCCTTCTCTGCGCCTCATTTCTTCGTCTTCTGTCAGACAGGTGTCCCCCTCCCTCAACAATCCCCCCCCACAGGCACAGTCAACAACACTGTTAGATGCACAAGGCAGCTGCCACAGCATCTGAAGGCCACACTTTATGCAGCAGTCACCAAAATCTCAGCCAACCTTTTGCAGCTCTCCATGACCATTTCACAGTTATCACAGCAAGTGTACCTAGATGTGAGGGAAGGTAAAAGTGCAGCCGAGGCTCTGGGGACAGGTGTCACACTGCCAGGTAGCTGTGGAGCTGCCGAAACAAACCTTACAGCTGGCTGCTGGGAAAAGACCTTATAAACCCTCATCTGTTCTGTATCTGAATCCTAAAGCTCTGTATTTTAATTTGTACAAATCATTCATATTTTTATTTTATACTAGCTTATTTATAAAGTTTGTATACAGTTTTCACGTCGGATCTTTCTAATTTCCTTTTACCCACCCCTCCCTCCACCCATCACACTGTGTGACCATATGATTGTTGTTATGTGCCATCTAGTCACCTGCGACTGACAGCAACCCTATGTACAACACCCCTAAACCCTGCCCTATGATTAACCCCCTAAATCATTCCTTTCTGTAACCAGTTCTCATCAAGCTTGCCACTGGCCCTGGAGACCCCATCATTTCCCAGTTCTCTTCATTCCAAAGACCTCACGGTTTTCACTGTCCTTTTCACCGTCTAACCACCACCACAGCCCCCTGCCCTGCCTTCCTGTAAATCTGAAGGAAGGAGTGAGAAAGGCCCTCACACACAGCCACCACTTTTTATAGTTTTTCATTATACTAAATCCCAAAGTCATCCGAAAGTCTAGCACTCCCATCTCTCAAATCAATGACCAGTGAAATAAGACAGACGGTTGAAACAGCAAGAGGAGAAAGATCCTCGGAGGACGATGCCAAATTGCTAGCCGTCTTAGGATGAGGTGCCCATGCAATTTTCAAAAGATGACAAAACAATTTTAACAAACTGAATGAATCTTCATTTTCTCAGACTTCATGGCAATGTACGGTGGTGTTACGTGCCATCAAGTCGCTTGTGACTCATAGCAACGCTGTGTATAACAGCTCTGAACCGTGGCCTATCTTGAGCCAATCTCATTGTCTCCAACACGCCTACTCCCATTACCCCACTCACAGAGTGAATGCATCTCATCTAGGGTCCTCCTCGCCTGCATATCCCTCCAACCCTCTAAGCATAATGGCCCTCTCCAAGGACTGGTCCCCCAAAAGAAGACATACTAAAATTACTAATTAAGGGAGGAAACTGCTAGGTTAAACAAGGCACAAACTAACTCATTAATATTTCCCTTCTTTTACAAAATCTAGTTTTGCTTTCTTTTCTCTCTGGAAGCGACTCATTCATCCACCAAAGTGTAACAACAGGAACCTGCAGACAAGGGGGCAGGTCTCATCCCTGTATAGTTATTTATTTAATTAATTGCAGGTGTTAATTTATCAGTGGAACATGACAAAGTCTCTGGCTCAGTCATAAATATTCTGTTTGTAAACACATTAACTGTATTAGCACAAGTATCACATTTTACAGCTGCTCTTGTAATAAACCCTGGAAAATGAATACATATTGTCTGGCACCTGAGTCAACAACAGGTCAGAACCTGCCCTATCCTGCAGCAACTGGCTAGTTAGTATTTTATGTCTCATGCACAAAAACTGTAACATACACAACATGAATAACCTGGATAAAAAGTGACAAGAAACTTTCTGTAAAAGATGTTCTCCAAACTATTACACGTTAGCCAGCTGAGGAATAAGCGGTGTGTGAAAGTCAATGAATGAACCGCTGCTGCTCCCACACCACGTATTTCTATCGCCACCTTGTGGAGTTCTCGCTCCACCTGCGCTGACCAGGTCCCCCACCTTCACATTCCTAGGAAGGTGTCTGCTTAGGACCTGTGTGCCAGTCACAGGATGCGCTGTGGACGTGGCGTCAAACAGCTGGGCTCCTAAACGGGTACTCAGAATGCCCCCTGCCCCTTAAATAATGAAATCTGTTGGGCCAAGAGGGAGTTGTCATTTGCACAGCATTTACACCGTATTAGGTCTTACAAGTAACCTAGAAATGATTTCTTGGCTGTGGGAGGATCTGTGTAGATTAGACCCAAATAGGGACTTGCGCCTCAGATTTCAGTATTCACAGAAGGTGCTGGAAGCAATCCCCTGAGAAGACCAAGAGATTACTGTATCCGAAGCAATTATTGGAGAGGTTTCTGCAAAGATTGCCAAGAGCTAGAAAAAGCACTGCTTCCCCCTCTTACACCACCACCAACAGACTTTGCCTGGGTGAGAGGAGGAGCAGAGTGGGAACAGGACAGGGATACGGCCCCTGTGGCGGGCTAACGGCCTCTGGACAGCAGCCTGCTGGGCCAAGAAAACACAGACGTGGATGGTGCCTGGCCGCCATTACTGAGAATGTTCATCAGATAGTCCACAGAAGAATCCGGATCCAAAATGAGAAAAACCAGAATTCCCACAGGCTCAAGATGTTCTAGAACCATGAAGGTTAGATGAGTCCCTGAACCTATTGCCCTAAGATGACCTTTAAAGCCAAGCAACAGTTTAGTCGTAAGTAGTGAAGAGTATCTGCCTTGAGCATTATGTCTTGTAATCAGTACCTACCCACATGGGTCAACAGCAAGCCAAGAGGAGCCTTTCCAGGTGGGGAGTTTGTAGGAAAAGACGAGTAACATGGAAATGGAGGTGAGAAGGGTCACATAACTCCGCACCAGTAAGCCGGTGTGGCAGGGCACATGCAGACACCGATGGACTGGTGTGTGGCTTGTTGTGAATATTCTCAACTACCAGGCAAATAAAAACCAAACAAAAACACTCAAACCCAAAACCACTAGCAACAGAAGCAGGATAAAATAGAAGTTCAGCCTTTTTTTTGCCTCAATCAGGAAGCAGAAGGTCCATGAAGATAAGTAGCCTGGTGTTTAAGTAGAGCGTGGCTCAGGGCCCCTCACCCGGGCCGATGCAGCGGACACTCTGGGGGAGGACCAGGGCTAACTCTAGGGGAGCAGGGAGGGCCGGGGCAGCGAGGGAGAAGCGTTCCCAGCTCCCGTGCACAACTTCTGCCAAGGACCCACCAGGGGCTCACAGAAGGATCGAGACTGTCAATGCGGGTCACTAAAGGAAACCTACATGGTCAGCTGATGCAGCTAAAACCTCCACACACCTTCACTCTCAGCAAACTAGGACTGGACAAAAACTTCCTCCCCGGGAGGCAGGACCTTGGCAGCCCAGGTGAGCCCACAGCAACGTCACCCTGCGTTCTCTAGAAGCCTGTAAGGAACCGGGACAACGTTTAGGATGCTGGAACTGTCTGATTCTAGGGCAGAGACCACTTTGTACCCTGGATCAGCCACATGAAAGACGAGCAAACACCTCATTGATGCCCCTAGGACACGTTTCCACAAAGAACAGCACAGAACCTACCTTGTTTTCTTTTTCGTTGAAGAGAGTAGTTTGATGGACTGGAGAAGAAGAAATGACAACCGGGATTCAAATATGCTCAGGAGTTTCATCACTTCTTCTCGATTAAGATTAGGAGAGGAGTCGGCAGATGAGTCAGTCTCCTCACTCTTAGGCTGAAAAACCAAACCAGTGTTTCACCTCAGCTCCCTGAGAATAACTAACCCCCATGACGTGGGGACGTACCCCGTCCACCTACACTCCCCCCCCACTCCCCACCCCCCGTGGTCCCTACAGTGGCCAAGAGGAGCCTGGGTGACTGTGTGAGAGCAAAGGCCTGAGCGCACGTGACTGTGGTTCCAGGGTAAGTGGTGACGCGGTCCAGGGCGTGGTCTGGCAACGCTTTCTCTTCTCCTGAGAACTAACCCCATGAACACGCTTCTGAATTTTTGTGCATTATTCATCTAAATACCATCTTCAAGCGCCCTAAATTACGGAGCTGCTGAAGGATCCAGAATGCAGTGCAGTCCCAAGGAACATAAAGCCCCTCTTAGTATGTGCCAAAATTTCTATTTTAGAAAATTCCAGAAACGCGGCGCCTTGCTTCAGCCTATCTCTAAATACCATCTTCAAGCGCCCTAAATTACGGAGCTGCTGAAGGATCCAGAATGCAGTGCAGTCCCAAGGAACATAAAGCCCCTCTTAGTATGTGCCAAAATTTCTATTTTAGAAAATTCCAGAAACGCGGCGCCTTGCTTCAGCCTATCTCTCATTACTGAAAACACATGGCATCAGCAAGAAAGTCAGAGAAAACAAGTGGGTCATGGAAGGGTTAAAATCTCATGCTAAAGTCATGGCATTAGTTTCATTAACGCTGTAAGCAAAACCTGCTGTCATGGCTAAGCCCCTGCATCACCACGGCCATGGTCCTCACGTGTGTAACTACTCCACGTTCTAGGTTCTAACATCCAGCTCGTGAATGAGGCACAAGCAAATCTGTACACAGACAACACATGACGAGTGGAACCCAGCGAGTTCCGGAAGCCAACAGTGGCAGGAGCTGCTCACTGGCCCAGCGGGAGAAAGAGGGGCAATCTCCAGTGTGATTTACAGCCTCTGAAAGCCTGGTCCTGACTTATCGACAACAGTCTTCCCTGGCTAAGGGTGGGGTCTCCATGGCTGTATGCTCGGACTATCTGGCTATCAAGCTACCAGCTGCAGATTCGAACCAACAGCCAGCTGCACTTGCTGAATTTGGATGTGTCAGTCTCTAAAACCAGCTATCCGTGACCCTGCCTCCCAGCAGGGACTGGGCAAGAGCCAGCCTCTCAAACTAGTAGCTGGCATTCTCGACAGCCATCCACCTACAACCCTTTCTCCCAACTATGGCCCCGGTATGCTGGCTTCTGAAGCCAACAGCTCCCAAGGCAGCAGCCTGAGAACCCACCCGCCTGCTGACAGTCTGACTGCTGCTGGAGGCCTCACCCGAAGTCTGACCTACCGATCTGGGACTTCTCTCCATTGACATAGGGGCCATGTCACTGACAAATCTCCCTCTACACACATACACATTCACACAATGATAACGAAAAAGCTTCACTGGTTTTGTTTCCCTCGAGAACCCAAGCTATGACACCAATCAACAAAAGCACGAGGCCATTCCGGTACCTGAAAACAGGTGACGGGAACATGTGTCACCTCGCAGGTACTTATGTGTGAGCAGCAAGTCCTGAACGGCTCTGTCCTAACTGTGCAGTGTGTGGTGGACAAGCCAGGAGAGCCAAAGGCCGTGCGCCCTGGGGACCGAGGGACACTCAGCAGCAACAGACGGCAGCACATGAGCCGAACGCCGGCAAACGGGAGAGGCCTGCTGGCCCACTTCCCCTTCAGTGTGGACACTGCTCCCAGGGCGCTCCATGGAAGACACAGAGGGCAGGAGTCCCTTACCAAGCACTGCTTATTCTTTTTGAAGATCAAAGCATACTTCGAATGTTTAGAGTGTGTGTATACATATATAAACACACACACACACACACACACACACACACAGATTAATAATTCCATCAAGCAAATGTAAGACATTCTGTGAATGGAGCATTTTCCTGCAGTGTGTATGTGTGCGTCTGTACATTCACCCCAGATGTTCCATCTAAGATGCCTAAGAACTACAGACACAGACCCTCTTTACCTGGTCAGGCTCCTCCGTGAGCTCCTTCCGGATGAGATGGAAGGCGTGCTTAGTTCTCACCATGATATCGAGAGCTCCGGAGAGGGTTTTCAATTTTCCAACATTGCTGTTCTGACCTACAGAAGTAACCACAAGAGTGACAGCTCACTGACATCCAAGCAGAGATATGCTCACCCATGTTTACTGCGGCTCTGTTCACAACAGCAAGGAGCTGGAAACAACCCAGGTGCCCATCAACAAAGGAATAGAGAGAGAAGCTGTGGTATAGTCAGGCACACAATGGAATACTATGCTGCATTGAAAAACAAGGAACTCAAGCAATATTATTCAAAATGGGTGA